GGGGGGGGGTCAATCAGTCCTCATATGTGCATACCATCAAACTGCTACTCAATACTGATAATGATAACCCAAATTGAATTATTTCCAATGGAAATTAAACAAATGTTAGTCCAAAACGTGATTTCCCTATATCAACAATAGTTAAGTTTATCCCTCCCCAGGGGTAAACGTGAGACCCCAGGATCATGAAATTCACAATTTTGGTAAAGCACCTTAAGACCCTTCCATCTATTAAGAGTATTTCATTCTACCATATCTGGGTCTTGAGAAGAAGATTTTTGAAATTTCAGTCAATTCGACCCTTTTTGGCCCCGCCCCTCAGGCCCCTGGGGGCAGCGACCAAACCGGCAACTATTTTTGTTCATCTTTGACCATGGAAGGTTCCTGTAAAATTTCATTGAAATTGGTTCAGGGAATTTTGGAGAAGAAGTCGAAATGTAAATTGTTTACGGACGCACGACGGACAAAAGGCGATCGCAATAGGTCATTTGAGACTTTGTCTCAGGTGACCTAAAAACTACTGATTCGGACCTAAATGGAAAATATTGGTCACTATCATGATCTACAGAATGGCTTTCGCTCAGGTGGTAAATTTTGATCAATTGAAAACCAAAGAATCTGACAGGATTAATCAGCTGTTGGGAGATAATAAGGGCGGATTTGGATCAATAAATAACCCATTTCTCAACATATGTGAGGTACGTGCTGTGTGGAAGTAGATTTTTTATTGTCAGCGAATTCTATTTATAGTAATATTGACCTTGTTATTTTCTACCACAAAAGGTGGAAACACGAACTGGTACAACAGAGTTTCAATGAAATGTGGCCGTTTGTGGGAAGCAGTTAAACATGATTGTTTGCAGGTGACAGGTGAAAGGCAATCACAATAGGTCATCCAAGTGATTTAGGTGATCTAAAATTATTCATCAATTTATCAAACTTCCTACAGTAAAATGTATATTTGTCTATAACCTAAATCAGCCTGCAATGCACTGATGATATCATCTGTTAGCCAGCAGTTATTTGTGGTTGTCACAATAACAATCCACATGTAAACAGTTGGATGTTTTCCTTTCTGCCCTCTTTGACGCCGCAAAGTCCACAAATGACTTTACAGTAACATAAAGGGCAAATTAAAATGGCAACAATCTTTTGCAACACAAGACTAATCATATATCTGATTTTGTTCACCGTATCTATACATTTTGACAGAAAGATGCCTGGTGTGGGGCCCGAGTGCATTACTTTATGACAGGCCATTCAGATTAATATGTTTCGCCTATGCCCGCTTTGACCATCAATACACATATACAAAAACTTAATGTTGATGGAGATGCTGACAAAGTCAATGGACTATGAAAGGAAGGCTGCATCCAACATTTGATGCATGGGTTGAGATGTACTACCTAAGATGCATCTATGGTCCAGTATGGTTGGCCTAGCACTTATACTTTCAGTGAAACTAACTTAAACGCAAAACATTAATGTTGAGGACGATGCAGAAAAGCACCACCTAAGTCTCGTTTCCACTTCCTGGTGGCGTGACATAAACGGGGAAATTCCCCCCGACTCCGTTTGGTATCTGAGAGTTTTCAGGTGCTGACAACAACAAGAGGCCCATGGGCCTTAGCGGTCACCTGAGTCTACAGTATTTATTTTTTTTGTTGAAATATGTACCAATTTGAGTAAAAAAATAGTATAATGTTAACTTAACTTTGTCAGGACCATGAGCTGATCATTCCTAGACCAATTTTAAGTGAGATCGGCCTATTAGAATTTAGTAGCAAAATAGCGGCCATGGCAGCCAAATTGTATTTCTGATTGACCCAAAAAATAGCAACACTTTGTCAGGACCATGAGCTGATCATTCCTACAAAGTTTCAGTTCAATCGGCCTAGCAGAACTTGACTTTAAGTTTGAAATAG